GCCCCCTCATCTTCATCTTCCATAACCCATAATCATTGTCACCCATGAACTTCTCTACTTCAAACTTAGACATATCTAAGTTTACAACTCTCATCGTTACTAGGAGATGAAAAGCCCCAAAATTTTAAGACCTAGAAAACCCTAAGTCGAGAATCCTGTAATCAACAGCTTAGATTTAACCCTAGACAGTCCAAAAATCGAACAATCTCTAATATCCAGACCGAATCTGGCTCTGATACAACTTGTTGAACTTAAAGATTCTTTGAATTACAGTAGAACAAGAAACCCTAGGTTTCTAATCAAGCAATATTCACAATAATCAAGTTATAAGAATAACAAGAGGATAAAAGGAAGTAGAGAACACACAAAAATTATATTGGTTCGATAATCAATTGATTACCTACATCCACTCTTCAAGGCAGTAGGAAATATTCATTGTAATAGAAAGATGCTTATAGAGTTTATAGCTCCTTGTTTACATGAAGAACCCAAGGAAAACCCCTCTGCAAATCACCTAAATCGACCCCATGTACCTCACCTCTCATACATCCAAATACAATGAATTAATTCACAATTTATACACAAGACACTACAACAAAATACATATATAGCTATGAACATTAGCTACGAAAAGAAAAACTATAGCAAATACATATTTACAGCTAGGAAAGTCAATATTTGTAGCTAATTGAAATAATTTTAGTGATAAGAATTTCTCCCTCGAAGCTAATATTCATCTATTGCTTTAACTTATTAAAATTGTGACAATAGCTATTCATTTAGCTACAATGTATTAGCTATGGTAAAACATTGTAGCTAATTAATGTATTTAGCTATAAATATTTCATTTACATGGCATATAGTATCATTATTTGCCATGAGTTTTAACTATATAGCTATTATTTGTGCATTAGCTATAAAATATTGAGATTTGTAGCTAATTAATATATTTAGCTATAAACATTTTATGTACGTGGCATATAGTATCATTATTAGCTATAATTTTACTTATATAGCTATTATTTATACATTAGCTATAAAATATTAAAATTTGTAGCTCATTAAGGTATTTAGCTATACAAATTTTATTTTCATGGTAGTGACAACATTTTAGTATCATTGTTAGCTACTAGTTTCAATATATAGATAATATGTGTGTATTAACTATAAATTATTTGAATTTGTAGCAAATAAAGAATGTGAAAATTAATTTGCTACAATCCTTATAGTATGCAGCTATAGATATTCTAATTTATCTTGTAAGTAATTATATTTTTATTACTTATGAATTAAATAACTATAGTCAAATATAGTGATAATAACACAACTAAGATCAATAGAAAATGGAACCTTAAACCAATAGTTAACTTAAAAGAACTCTTCAGCAAGCTAAGAGTGTGAGCTTTTGTAAAAAAAAAATTGTATTTTAAAGGATCTCTAAGTTTTTTGTCTTTTCTATGATGATTTAAAACTAACACTTTATAAAATGTAAGTGATTTTAGGTATGAGATATGAGATATTATAAAAATTGATAATGTTACATATTTTTATATATGAACTTGTATGTATATTTTAGATGACGATAATGACAGCGTTAATGAAACTATTTAAATTATTTATACATTTAATAAAAAGAATATTTGGTTGTATGGAAGATAAGTTTTATATAAAACTTGGTGTATATATCAAAATAACCAAAACCACCATTAATATATTTATCAAAACCTGTCTCACTTCACAAAGTATTAATATGAAAAGCAAATTAATTGAATTGTATAACCATAAAACTTTATAAAATTGAAAACATAATTTGTAAACAGCAATGCTACAGACACCGGTGTTTTTACACCGAAATTTTGTACCGGCTGACGTGTGTGCTGACTTAACCATCCAACGTGTTTTGGCGTTATTAAATTTGATCTAATGAATGGCCGTCCATAACATATGGACGGCCATTCACTCATATGAACCCCCGTCCATATTATATGGACGGGGTCCATTTACTACGGACGGGCGTCCTGATTTAGAGGACGCCCGTCCATTGCTAAATAAAAATAAAAAATATTAAAAAAAATTAGGGACGGTCGTTCACAGGTCATGAACGGCCGTCCATAAACATTGGACGGGCGTTCATATGTTAATGGATGCTCGTCCTTTAATTTTGGACGGTTTTTAAAATATAAAAAATTAAAAAAAATCTGGGACGCTCATCCACAAATTGTGGACGGGCGTCCCTAATGTGTGGACGAGCATCCGTATAGAATGGATGCCCGTCCATAATTTTGTTTAAAAATTTAAAAAAAAATATATTTGGACAGTCGTCCCATTCCTTAGGGATGGGCGTCCCTTAATTATGGACAGCATATCGTTTTATTTTTGTTTCATGTTTGTAGGCTGGGCAAACCATCAAAACATTAAGCTCCTTTGTATGAATTTGTTCTAAAAATTTCTAAATAGACAAAAAGATTATAAATGTGAATTAATTCAATTAGAATAATGAATAATGTGATAATAAATAAATAATCACTGAATTTGTTCTAAAGTCATCAGACTCTACTAATTTTTATATATTTTTTTGGACACTTTCTACAAACAGATGATGAGCTTGTTATTAAATACAAAATTCAAAAATCAGAAAACAAAACAAAATTCACCAATATAAAGATAATGCAAAAAGATGATTGTTATTAACTAACCATTTTTCTTGAAATCAACTATTCAGATAAGAAACACTAAAAAATAAAAACCTCAATGATGTTGTATTGGTTCCAAAAAAAAAAAAAAACTAACCTTTGAAGTCTGAATATTGTCTGGGAACTCTTCTGATAGTTGTAATTGTTTGGCGCCCCCTTGTTCTTGATAGTTGTAATTGTTTGCCGCCCCCTTGTTCTTGATTGCCCCAGGTTTATGGTAAAATAAAAAACTTCAAATAAAACCCTAAAAAAAAAAAAAAGCGCCATTGAAAAGATATAGAAGGATAAAAGTGCGCCAGTTTTACTTTTACAATTTGGGAAAATATTTACTCTTTATCCTATTTAATTGTAAATATATTTGATTTATTTTAATTATTTTAGATAACTGTGTCAAATAAATAATAATAAAAGCTTTGTATTTATTTAATTAAATTCTTAAATAACCACCTCTAAACCGGTTATAATCTCAATTAAACAATAATGTTACGGACACAAGTATTTTTATACCAAAATTTTATACCAGCCTACGTGTCCCATGATTCACACCAACAAATCAAACACATTTCACGTTATTAAATTTTTTTCTAGTGAACGGTCGTTCATCAAATATGGATGATCGTTCACTTAATAAATGGAATCTGGTCCATATAATATGAACGGGAGTCCATGTAAGTGAACAGTCGTCCATATTTGATAAACGGTCATTCACTAGAAAAAAATTTAATAACGTGAAACGTGTTTGATTTGTTGGTGTAAATTACGGGACACGTAGGCCAGTATAAGATTTCGGTATAAAAATATCAGTGTCCGTATATATATATCAAATATAGTGATTTAATTGAGCATTATATATATATCAAATATAGTGATTTAATATTATATATATAGTGGTTTAATTGAGCAACAATGCTAAAGACACTGGTATTTTTATACCGAAATCTTATACTGGCCTACATGTCCCATGATTCACACCAGCAAACCAGACACGTTTCACGTTATTAAATTTTTTTCTAGTGAACGGTCATTTATCAAATATGGATAGTCGTTCACTTATATGGACTCATGTCCATATTATATGGACGTGGTTTTATTTACTACGGACGAATGCCCCCATTTAAAGGACAGGCGTTCATCAATAAAATGGAATAAAATTTTTTTATAATAAATTCTAAATAAATTATAACATAGTAATTTTTTAAAAAGAATTATTAATGGATGGGCGTCCATTAAAATATGAATACTCGTCCAATATTAAAAGACAACCGTCCATAACCTATAAATGGCCGTCCCTAATTTTTATAAAAAAAAAATATTCCATTTTACTGATGGACGCTCGTCCTTAAAATGGGGACACTTGTCTGTAGTAAATGAAACCACGTCCATATAATATAGACAGGAGTCCATATAAGTGAACGACTATCCATATTTGATGAACAACCGTTCACTAGAAAAAAATTTAATAACGTGAAACGTGTCTGGTTTGCTGGTGTAAATCATTGGACACGTAGGCCGATACAAAATTTCGGTGTAAAAATACCTGTATCCGTAGCATTATTGTTTAATTGAGATTATAACTGGTTTAGAGGTGACTGTATAAGAATTTAATTAAATAAATATAAAGTTTTTATTATTATTTATTTGACACAGTCATATAAAATAATTAAAATAAATAAAATNGGAGATGAGAGAAAACAGAGCAACGAAAATTTACTTTGTTTCAGTTTTGATTGATAACAGAATCTTGTTACAAGCAAACTTTATATAGTGAGCTGCTGAACTGAAGAAACAGAATTGGTTACAGTGAGGTTATAGAGAAAGAACTGATTTCTATTTAGCAACAGAGAAGCCAACACTCATTTTAGTAAAGTCTGGAGCTGAGACGATAGTTCTTCATAGCTTATTCTTTAGTTGAAACGGCAACATTTCTTGTGCAGCCTTTTATACTTAAGACGGCATCGTTTCACAAACCAACACGATCAAGCATTAAATTCTACAAACAACAAAAGCTTTTATGAACAGGTACTTAAAGAGTTTGGAAACTGTACATAAAGAGTTTGGAAACTAAGTTTTATAGCCAACAACTGCATAAAATGAACTAACAAGCTCTTAAATCAGGTGTCCGAAGAGCTCAAAATGTAACCACAAACTCATCTTTAATAAAATTTGGGATGCCATTTCGATCACAATGGTAAAACACAAATTTCTAGCTTTATGCACTACAAAGTGGCAGTGACCAAAATGAAAAACAACCAAAAAAAGAAGGCTTTAAAAAGGAAAAAGACTACATGAGAAAGACGGGCTTTGAACATACATTGAGTCCCTGCCGAACACCTCTCCTCTTTTTGGCTCATAACTTGCTGAAAATCCAACAAAAACAACAGCTTTAACAGTGTATATAAACATTTTATTTCCATATCAAAACACTTTCAAATTATACTAGCACAAATTGAAATACAATTTAAACTTATTGGATAATACACTTTTAACAACTTAATTAATCTCATTAAATATAATTAATCTAACAATCATTAATCAATGCCTATAAATTTGAATACTTTGAAAGCCATAAATTTCACTCAAAAGAAACAAACATACCTCCTCTCTGTAGGGATAAAAATATTCAGGAGCAATTCAATGTATTTGCGCTTCATAATCCTTGCTGTACCTCTCCTAAATCCATACAAAGCATTAACAATGAAACACAAAAATCGCATTTTCAAACAGCTTTTCAAGCAAACCACGTTTTAAAACTACAGCTCCATATAGATCCTCACCCCAAATTCCTGAGATCACATTGTATCCACCTGTCGCCTAGAGCCCAGTCAAAAACGACGATTTTCAACTTCTGATCCGCTTGAAGCATATCGACATCATTTGACACCAATTTCGCCTATAGTTGCCGAACAGATTCGGTAACAACCTGGCCATCTCATCTGTGAAATTAAAAAAAAAAAAAAAAATTAGCAAATATTTAGCACAAATGTTCTATTAATTTTAATGATTAAGTATTTGAGATGACAAAAATGACCTAGACTGCCGGTGGTTGAGCAGGCGGGACCGTTGACGGAGAACGGAAGGGAGAGGACATGCGTGATTGATACGGCTCGTTTGAATTAACTCTAAACTGAAGCCACACAGCCAGATACTAGAGCAGACTTGACAAGAGTCATATCGCTGTTAGCCACCAAGGAAGGAGACGCGGCCTAAGTCTGTAGCCCCTGCTATCACCATCCTGCATTTTCTTCATATAAATTTGCATGATTGGATATCATTTCAATTTTCTCCTGACGGAATACTAAGTAGTCCCTTAAATCTATAATTAATATCATATTTAACCTTATAATCCAAAATTTATACTCATGCCGTTGCTCACCTTCAACATCTTCACCCCCCTACACTCAGTAATCAGTTCACAAACTTGAAGTTTCTTAATAACCAAAAACTCTGCTTTACTAGTCTTGGTCAACCTCGCCCAGTCATAAATTCATATAGTAGAAGAAGTTGACTTTCTTTTTGCATAGGATAAAATTAATAAAATGAGATTAGAAAACACTTCCACACAATCAACATCTTTGGTAGGTGGGATTTTGTGTTTATTTAGCTCATAGAATTAAGATGAAGTTGATTGATTATTCTACTAGGAATGCTTGAAACGACGGCGTATTGGATATTAGTGGAACGGTGTCGTTTTGGACAGCTTCAAGATGAATCCTGACCATTGATCCAATGACAATCCAACGGATGAGAATTCGTTGAAAGTCAACACTATAAAAGAGAAAGTCTTCATTTGCAAAAACAAAGAGGCTTCTCACATCGAAAAAGAGTATGATCTCTGTGTTCTTTGTACACATTTAGGGTTCATGTTATTCTGATTCTGATTTCGTGTGTAATCTGAGTAAATCTTGAGCAGTTTGGTGTAATAATTTCAGGAAGAGTAAGAGAGCTCTTATTCTAGGGATTTGGGGGTTAGAGTATTCCTAGGGTCAGATTGCAGGTTTGATTTCAGAAGTGTTTGAGTTGGGATTTTAGGCGTATTCGAATCTAGGGTTGTAAGTGATTGATTCTTATTAATAGTAGTGCAGCGAACTCCCTTTTTCCGGAGTTCAATGTGGATGTACTTGCTAAAAAATAGAGCAAGTGAGCCACGGTAAAACTGTTGTTGTTGTCTGCGTGTGTGCTTTCTTGATTCTGGATAGTTTGGTCATGATTTGTTTCTTGATTATTGCATAACAGTGGTATCAGATCCTTTACTTAGGCAATAACCTTTGGGTGTTTGGATTAGGGTTTCCTTAGATCTAAAAATTAGGGTTTCTCAATTTTGGTGTTTCCTCAAATCTAGGGTTTCTTAATCAAATTGAGGGCTCTTAGAGCCAAGATCCGAGATTATCAGTCTCAATTACACTAAGGGGAAAACAAATTAGGGTTTTTGTGGGTCATGTTGTAAAGAGTCAGATCTGTATCGAGTTCTTGAATTCTTAGTTCCCAAACACAAAATCAAATACAGAACCATAACCAACACCACCACCCGAATGGAGATCTCCTAATATGATGGGAAGATCGACTTCGGGAGTTGGAAGAAGAAAATGAAAACCCTACTTTCGCACAACAAAGTTGGCCTTGCACTGGAGAAAGATCCCAAGAAGTGGCCCGAAGAAAAACTGAAGAAGAAGAAGGAGATTGATGAAGAAGCTTACAACCTGATCGTGATGAACCTATCAAACAACATACTGAGAAAGGTTGATGGAATCGAAACCCCTCTGAGGTTATGGGGTAAGCTCCAATCCTTGTATGCTCTTCAATCTGCACCAAATTTAGCATTCCTTAAAGGTGCCCTGTTTTCATATAAGATGGATAGCAATAAGACCATAGAGGAAAATTTGGATGAATTCCTAAAAATGACACTAATTTTAAAAGGAACAAAACAAGAATTAGGGGAAATCAGTTTGGCTATGATACTGTTGAATTCCTTAAATGATGACTACCAAGTAGTCAAAAATGCAGTTCAGTACTCCAGTACTGTACCTACTGTTGACTTGATAGTGGCAGGTCTTAAGGCTAGGGAACTAGAATTAAAAGTTCAAAAGCGAAATGGGAGCAACCTGTTTGTGAGGGGAAAACCTAATAATTTTCAACTTGCTAAAGGAAACCATTATAGCCAGGGGTCCAAAAACAAGAACAAGGGTAAATGGAATAATAGACAAAAGACTAAGTCTAGAAAATGTTTTTTCTATAACAAAACTAGCCATCTGAAAAAGAACTGTTTTGAGTGGCTTAAGAAACAAAAATAAGGAAACACAGAGAGCAACCTAGCCTCTACCACACACTTAGGAGAAGAAACAGAAGTACTTACTGTTTCTGTTTCTGATAGTACAAAAGAGTGGGTAGATTCAGGGTGCTCATTCCACATGAGCCCCAATAGGGAATGGTTTCAAGATTTCAAAGACTATGATAGGGATACTGTGTTCATGGGGAATAATAATGCTTGTAGGGTGAAAGGAATAGGAAACATAACCTTTAGACTTTGTAGTGGAAAATTGATAAAACTCACACATGTTAGGTTTATTCCTGAACTAAAGAGGAACATTATCTCATTAGGAACCCTAGATAAGGCAGGGTGTTGTTATAGAGCCAAAAATGGGTGGCTGAATGTGTATAGGAACCAGAACCTAATCCTGAAAGGAGAAAAAAAGAATGGATTATATATACTTTGTGGGGAGTACTGTTCTGATTGCTTCAATACTGCCTTAGTCACCTCAAACCTATCAGTTATTGAAAAATGGCATCTTAGGGTGGGTCATATGGGCCAAAAAGGGTTAGATATCCTAAGCAACCAGGGTATGCTAGGAAAAGAGACTTTATCAACCGTAGAGTTCTTTGAGAATTGTGTTCTAGGCAAACAACACAAAGTTAGTTTCCAAAAGGGTATACACCTGGCCATAGGATGCCTAAAGTATATCCATTTTGATCTATGTGGGCCTGAGAGAGTGAGGTCAAATGGGGGCAGCAGTTACTTAATGTCAATTGTGGATGACTTCAGTAGAAAAGTGTGGATTTACGCCTTAAGAACCAAGGATCAAGCCCTGTCCAAATTTAGAGAGTGGAAAGCCCTAGTAGAAAATCAACGAGATCGGAAAGTAAAAGCCCTAAGGACTAACAATGGACTAGAGTACTGCAACACTGAATTTGATAAATTCTGCAGTGAGCAAGGCATTCTGAGACATAGAATAGTGAGAAAAACTCCTCAGCAGAATGGGGTAGTTGAGAGAATGAACAAAACTCTCCTAAAAAAAGTTAGATGTTTGCTATTCAACTTTGGATTACCTAACACCTTTTAAGAAGAGGCTTTGTCCACAGCAGCCTACTTAATAAACAGAAGTCCCTTTACAGCCACAAATTTTAAATGCCCTGAAGAGGTGTGGTCTGGTAGAAAGCCTAGTTTAAATCACTTGAGAGTATTTGGGTGTGTAGCCTGTGCACACACAATAGGGGGAAAACTAGATCCTAGGTCCACTAAGTGTGTATTCCTAGGATACCAAGAAGGGACCAAGGGATATAGACTCTGGGACAAAGAGTCACTAGGGGTAAAAAACATCATTTCGAGGGATGTAGTGTTTAATGAAGGGATTTTCCCTTGCAAAGCCACAAACCAAGACATAGGAAACCACACTTCACTTGATCAAATAAACCACTCAATAGAGACCACTTCAATTGAGGTGGAGCCTGTAGGTAAGCAGGCCAGTCCACCTCAACCTGATGATGAACAGGTACCAAAAATCCAACAAGGATCAAATAGTCCAAAACCTAAAGAGGAAGAAGCTGTAGCAGATGCATTTGAGCCACAACCTGCCCAACTGGAGCACTACCAACTTGTGAGAGACATAATAAGAAGAGAGGTAAGACCCACTGCTAGATTCTCTTATGATGAACTAATATACATTGCCTTGCTTGCAGGAACAGAGGTTCAAAGAATGGAACCAAACTCTTATGATGAAACAATGAAGTCCAAGGATAAGGAAAAGTGGAGGGCAACAATGGAAGAGGAAATGAGATCACTTGAGGTAAACAAAACCTGGTCCTTAGTTCCTAAACCAAAGAACTAGAAACTGATCCAGTGTAAATGGCTGTTTAAAATAAAAAAGGGCATTTCAGCTACTAACCCACCTATGTACAAAGCTAGGTTAGTTGCTAAGGGGTACATCCAACGGGAGGGAATAGACTTCAATGAAGTCTTTTCCCCCGTAGTCAAATACAAGACCATTAGATTAATGCTCTCCACAATTGCCCATTACAACCTTGAGTTAGAACAAATGGACATAACCACTGCCTTCTTGCATGATAACCTAGAAGAGAAAATTTACATGTGCCAACCTATAGGTTTTGTGGACTACAAAGTCCCTGATCATGTTTGCATCCTGCACAAATCTCTATATGGACTGAAACAATCCCCTAGGTAGTGGTACAAGAGGTTTGACACTTTCATTCTAAGCATAGGGTTTACTAGGAGTAGATACGACAGTTGTTTTCATTTTAATTTGAATAAGGATCTACCTATTTATCTCTTACTGTATGTGATGATATGTTGCTTGTAAGTAAGTCCAAATCAAAAATACTTGAGCTAAAGGGAAAACTTAAGTAAGAATTTGACATGAAGGATCTAGGAAATGCAAAAAGAATCCTAGGAATGGGCATTACTAGAAACAGGAGCAAACATAAGTAAAAATTAGGCAACAATCATATTTGGAAAAACTGGTGTCTAAGTTTGGTATGGCAGACTCTAAATTGGTGCCTACGCCTCTTGCAAACCATTTTGTGTTAAACAAAAGTCAATGCCCTAAAACTGAAGCTGAATTAATAAAATTGGAATCGGTCCCCCATCCAAATGTTGTTGGATTTGTGATGTATGCGATGATCAGCACCAGACCAGACCTGTCATTTGCCATCTCCTTATTGAGCTGATTTATAGCTAATCCAAGTAGTGAGCACTGGGCTGCTTTAAAGTGGGTATTGAGGTATATTAATGGTTCTTTGAATGTTGGATCAGATTTCTATAATAGGCATGCTTCACTTCACTTGGTTGGTTTTGTAGACTCTGAGTTTGTAGGTGACAAAGATACAAGAAAATCCACCACTTCATATTACTTCACTC